TTGTGCGATAGATCCAACACATAAATCCGTGGGAGGATGCCATCCCAAAACTAATTGGTGATGAGAGAAGAGACCATACAACATTTATATGTTGGGCAAATTTGTTCTTTTCTTTTCGGTGTTGGTTAATAGTGTTCCAATATTTTTTCAGATCTTATTATGTGAGCTCGCCTAAAAAATAATCTTAAGGAAAAATCTCTAGATAAGAGTAAAAAAAATCATTAAAGTACAAGTCTTTACTTTTTTAAGATCAAAGTAGAAGTTCACACTGCCATTTGTTATAATCTTATTAGGTGAGCTTAAACTATTACAATTTTAAAAAAAAAGGGAAGAAGCATATAAATATACATTCTCATTTATTAACTCTATGGCATGGTCTTCACAGAGGGAACAACACAGATGCATCGTCCTTGTGCCATAAGGGCGAGGGTTTCACAAAGCTGACAAAAGTGAAGATGCCGGACGCCAAAACGGCGGTGGTGAACCACCAGAGCATTGGGTTGGATGAATGCAACCAAATTTGTCTGAACAACTGTTCCTGCACGGGATACACCACTGCAAATGTTAGCTCTGGGAGTGGGTGCATCACGTGGTATGGTGAGCTTATTGACATGAGAGAGTTAGCTAATGGCGGCCAAGATTTGTTTCTTCGAATCTCAGCTGATGATTTACGAAAACTTGAGAATAAATCTAAAGGGCATCGTAAGGTGATCACAGTATGTTTGGCTGTAGTGAGTGTAGCGGTGATTCTCCTACTTTGTTGGTTGGCTATGCATATTAGAAAAGGTAATTAACTATACTCACTCACACCCATTTCTTTCTTCCAATTTGATTTTTCACAATCATTTGTGCAATACTTTAACTGTTAATATCTCTATTTATTTAGTAAATATATTTTATAAAAGTATGATATTTTCAAAATGCAGAATTAGTATATTGATACTAAATTAATATCAAAAATCGATATATTTTTTCTTCAATTTGTGGTCACCTGATGATGATGATGTATGGATGATAATTACAAGTATGCAGAGACGAAGAAATGCTAAAAATAAGCATTTGCAGTTGTATGGGGAGTCTGTGATGGGAGAACACGTAGATGAAAACGGATTGGCCATCTTTGCTCTCAAAACTATTCAACATGCAACTGATAACTTCTCTGTTGAAAATAAACTTGGCCAGGGCGGATTTGGTTCTGTTTACAAGGTTAAAACCTTAATTTCAACTTTTCTTATCATAATTGTTTTCCATTCATGTTTATCCAACATGCCAAATCTCGATAATTTGGAAACGTGTGTTTCATATGGTTGCAGGGCAAGTTGCCCAATGGACAAGTAGTAGCAATCAAAAGGCTCTCGAGAACATCAGGACAAGGCATAGAGGAATTCAAGAACGAAGTTACACTAATTGCAAAGCTCCAACACAGGAACCTTGTGAGGCTATTGGGATGTTGCATTCAACAGGGAGAGAAGATGTTGGTGTATGAATACATGCCAAACAATTCACTCGACCACTTTATCTTTGGTACATGTTTATATACAAACTCTTGATCTTAAATTATTGATGAAACAATATTATATTGTTGTGTAGTTAAACGATGATTTTAGAATCATATTTTATCATAGCACAGGTACTAATAGAAGGGAGGAGGCCTTGGATTGGACAAAACGCTTTGATATTATCTTGGGGATTGCTCGAGGATTATTATATCTTCATCGAGATTCTAGATTAAGAATCATTCATAGAGATTTAAAACCAAGCAATGTTTTGCTAGATGCCTCTATGAATCCAAAAATATCGGACTTTGGAATGGCGAGGATTTTCGGGATTGGTCAAAATGCAGCAAACACAAATCGCGTGGTTGGGACATAGTAAGTGTTGTAACTTAACTTGAGCACATTTAACACTTGGATGGAGTCTTTGTTATATATATAATGCATGTTGACATTAATGATATATAAACATGGTTTGATCACAGTGGCTATATGTCACCGGAATATGCAATGGAAGGACAATTTTCGGTGAAGTCTGACGTCTTTAGCTTCGGTGTTTTGCTATTAGAGATCGTGTGTGGAAGGAAGAACAAAATACCCTTGAAGGAAACCTCTCTCAATCTTATCGGAGATGTAAGTATACTATTTTTAGCACGACAGTTATGTAGTCGTTCATCAGAACAACACCTCCTCACCACAAACCTAAACATGTCAAAAGTGTTTTGTCATCACAACAAGTGCATCTCATGTATGTATGTTTACAATGGATTTATTTTTAGGTGTGGGGTTTGTGGAGAGATGGAAAAGCAATTGAAATAGTTGATCCATTATTGGGGGAGTCATATGAGAGTGAAAAGGTTTTGAGGTGCATCCATGTTGGGCTATTGTGTGTTCAAGCCATGATGCATGATAGACCGACCATGTCACAAGTGGTTTTCATGCTATGCAATGAAACTAAACTTCCAACCCCTAATCAACCAGGGTTTATTTTATTAAGGCAGGAAAATTGTATTCCAAGCTCCTCAACAACATCTACTAAAAGTCACTCTATCAACAGCATGTCTATTACTAAATTAGAAGGGCGTTAACTATTACTCATATGTACTTTTAGACTTGATAATAGGATACAATTCCTCACTTTAAGCGTGTATATATATTTTGATTTCCAAACAGATTCATATGATATGAGTGTAGGAATGATTTTTGGGTATTTGGGGTGTACTTGATCTCGTAACAAATTTGGTATTTTATTTAATATCGTAATACTCATGACATTTTTTATGTGTTGTGATTTTTTTTGTTTTTAGCACTTATAGTTACACTATATAGCATTCAAATGACAATGCTAGAGCATCTCCAGCATGCATGCTATATCCTAAAATATATATTGTGAGAAGATGTTGTAGCTTTCATCTAACTCCAATGGGAAAGCCATAGTTTAGCAAGGAAGCTAAATTTGATGTTCCAACCTCTATAAATAGAGGATACCACGAGAACGGCTATATACATAACTGAATTTAATTATCTAAATTGGATATTTCTTTTTTTATTTGTAAATTGTGAAAATTTTAATTTATTGTTATATATTTGTTATTGTGAATAGTAGAATAGAGAATTGAATTAGGTTGTGTTAGTTGTGAATATGTTAATATAATTAGGTTATGTTTTAAGTTTATAATGTTATTAATTATTTAAATTTTAACATAGGATAATGTAAATGTATTTTAAAAAGGCACAAAGATTTAAAAAGAAAAAATCGAGTGAGAATTCATCAAATTTGAACGCAAATAATAAATCACTTTCAAAATATGAAAACTAGACGTTATCAATTGTAATATGTATTTCACATTTGCAATGTAGAATTATTTTGTAATTAGTATTTTAAACAATATATTTAAACCTTAATGTTATGGATTATAGAATACTGTTTATTTACTGTTAAAGCGTGTTGGTTACTTGGGTGGATATAAATTTTTTAAATTGTGACCTCATGGTTCAAATGTTCTGGGTCCGCCCTTGACAATAATAAGGTGTTTGCACATGTCCTAGCCCCTATTAGGCCCCGTTTCATTCAATTTATTTTTTCTTATTACTCAGTATTTCTTATTTTTATTAAAATCAGATCAGATCAGATCAAATCAGATCAGATCGAATCAGATCAAATCAGATCGAATCAGATCAGATCAGATCCAATCAGATCAAAACCTATTAAAATCAGATCCCATCAAGAATTATTATTATTATTATTATTATTATTATTATTGTTGTTGTTATTGTTATTATTATATTATTATTATTAGTATATTATTATTATTATTATTATTATCATCATCATTATTGTTATTGTTATTATTTTTCTTAAAAATTAAAAAAGAATAAACTTTAGACACAGGTTAAATATAAAACTGAGAAAGTAATCATTAATTATTAGACGTCGGAAAAATTAGTTTTAAAATACATTGACAATGTTAATATACTTCTACTTTTAAAATATATATTTTTTGCTACTTGTAATTTGAGTTTCTAAAGTTTTGATCTTTTATAAAGATGAGATATTTTAATAAAAATAGTGAAATTTGCACTAAATAGGACTAAAACATAAATTATTTTCCAATGTAGGACTTAAACTTTTTTATTTCCTAAATAGGACTTAATAATGTCTAATGGGAGGAATAATGTCCAATAATGATGGACATTTACTTGAATAATGAATAATTGATAATGACCAATGGTCTTACATTGGGAAATAAAAACATATTGTCCTATATTGGGAAAGTCATTATGTTTTACTCCTATTTAGGTAAATTTCTCATAAAAATATTATCTCTTCTATACATTAATGATCTAAATTTAATTACTTTTAAATGTATATATAAATTAAATATTTATTCTAAGGTATATACTCCCTTCGTCCCCCTGTATTTGTCCACTTTTATTTTTACACACCATCCAATTTACTTCTTTAATCCATTTTATCTTGTAATTTGTATATTAAAAAATTATAAAAATTATATATTAATAATCTATATGTTAAGACAAATCAAACAAGATCAGACATGACTATATTTAGGCTTGCACATTGAGATAATTTGATGAGTCAAAGTGCTTAGATGAACAGTTCCAAAAGTCAAATGTGGACAAATACAGGGAGACGGAGGGAGTATGAAGTAATTATTACAATATTAAATTAATATTCTAATTTCACAAAAAAATAATCATTAAATACAAAATTTTGATTATATTATAATATGATATATCATTACAATTTTCAAACGTTATTATAAAGTCAAATCAAGTTATTGATTTGAATTTTAAATCAAATCATAATTAATCAAATCAGATCAGATTAGATCAGATCCAATCAGATAAGATCAGATCCAATTAGATCAGACCAGATCAGATCCAATCCGATCGGATCAGATCATATCAGAACTTATTAAAATCAAATCAAATCAGAAAAAATAAGTTGAACAGAAATTACCACCGTTAGTGATAACCCTTCGGGCCAAGTGTCAACATTTCACCATGCAACTTGTTGGTCTATGGGATAACCATCATCACCCCCCATCCAAAAATAAAAACATTTCGTCAAAAACTCCATCATCGATCAGATCTGATTCCACCGAATCCCCTCTCCCAGAACAGCTTCTCCTGAACAAAAATGGCTTTCTATGGCCATTCCGGCGAGTCCCAATGGCCCTATTCTTATGATCCCAATTCTTACCCAACCCAATCTCTGATTTCATACCCATCCCCAAATCTCATCCAAAATCAACCCAATCACTGCACCAGCTATTACCTTGATTACCAGCCTCCGATTTCCCAAACAAATTACTACATAACTTCTTCTTCTTCTCACTCGACATCAGCGCCGGACGGCGAGGTTTTCGAGGAGTACGATCCGGACCCGTACAGCGGCGGGTACGATATTGTTCAGACGTACGGCAAGCCCCTTCCGCCGTCAAACCAAACCTGTTACCCCCGTTCCGCCCCTGACGAAACAGGGGAGGCTGCCGCGGCGGCGGCGGCGGTGGAGGGCACTAATAAAGGCGGAAATGAGAGTGCTTGGGAATCCCCCCAAGCGGGGAACGATGATGCTATTGCTAGCAGCAGGTACTATGGGTCTGGTTTGGAGGGCGTGGATTTGTGTGGAGGCGTGTTTGGTTACTGGCCTTGTTGGGAGAAACACCAGAAGAAGGAGAAGAAGAAGAAATGGAATGATTTGGATCAAGAAAAGTGGAACAGAAGCAGCAATGGTGGCGATGAAGATAGCCCATGGAGTGATTATTCATCGGCAGCTGATTATATATTTGGAGGTCCATTTGGATATGGGGATCTCAGTTATTCTAGTTATCATCAGCAAGAGTATTAGCTAGCAGATCAGAGATTGGTGATATAGTATTTGCCATTTTAGCAATAAGTGATTTATGTGATGCAATGTAAATGTAATTCGAACTTACTCTATGAAACATCCTTGTGAAACATGTTATATTTGAATCTTGCTGAAATCTAAAGTGTATAATGTATAATGTAATGTTACCACATAACCCCTCCCCCTCCCTTCCCCTCCCTCTGCCCCATGAACCCAGCCCCAGAACCGTGCTAAATCGGCTATCNGGGGGGGGGGGGGGGCAGGAAGGTGCTTGGGTGGGGTGCGGGGAGGGGGTCAGAGGTGATTAAAGGGTAAGAACCATCAATTTTACCAATGGAGCAGAGATCTCTCGTCATTTTTGATATTACATTTGTCAAATTCTATATTTTAGAATTAATTCATAATCACTCTTTTGTAGTAACTGGTTTAGGGGTGAGTTTGGTTTTGGCGGTTCGGCTTTCACCCAAAATCAAAGACAAAACGGAAGGTAAGTTGGCGGTTCGGTTCGATTTGGTTTTGTATAAAAAATATATAAACCGTTGGTTGTTCAGTTCGGTTTATACAGTTTTTATTTTGATTTTTTCGTTTTTTAAAAAATAAAAATTTATAAGCATTAAAAAATTGTAAAAATACTAACCTGATGAAAGAATAACAATATGTAGGTTTGGGTTTGATTTTTTTGTTTGATTTTTATATAAAACCAAAACCAAACTGAAGATTAGTGTTCTATGACCAAAATAGGCACAACTATGAGAACGTCATGACCTTTGGTTAGAATTAACTTAGGTATGGTATACTAGCTACTCTTTGTATAGACGACAATACAGTTTAGAGCAAGATATCATGTTCTACTAAATAACTAATAAAGAAGGTTTGGTATCGCTTAATAAAGGACGGGTTCAAAAATTGAGACACTTACCTATTCTTTGCAATCTGGGATGTTGTCTACCCCCAAATCAAATTTAATTCATATGGGCCGGAATTGTTGGAATTTTTTGCGTTCAATAGGCACTTAAGTTGCTGTTGTTGCCTTGTTGGAAATAATGATATGATCAATGGGGTACGTCTACTAACATTTTTATCATTAATTAATGGATATGTGTTATTCTCCTAAGTGAGACAAATAAATTGATATATTATACACTAAAAAAAGTTGAAAGATAAATAATAAATTAATTTTCAAAGTTGACTAATTAATAAAAAAGTTTGGTTGGCTGTGTGCATGTGCGATTTTTGAACTAAAATTTTACTCCCTCTGTTCCACAAAACCCTTACTCTTTCGTTTTTTTTGCTTTCCACAAAACACTTCCACTTTCTATTAAAAAACCACTTTTACCACTACTTTTTCCTACCCTACCTATCACATCATACTTTTTCACTAATAACCAAACTATCACATCTTACTTTTTCCCATCACATCAGGGGTATAATTGGAAAGTCAACAAAAATTATACTTTCCTTATTTTTCTCCAAAGTCAACACCGGAAGGGTTTTGTGGAATGGAGGGAGTATTATTTTTTTGACTAATTAATTTTCAAAACGGTTCCTATTTTGACTTTTAAAAGAAATAAAAAGTGTATATTTATGGTTGATTTTCTAATTTTGCCCTTGATGTGATGAATAAAAGTAACATGTGATGGATAGATTATTAGTGAAAAAGTATGACGTAACAGGTGGGGTAAGAAAAGGTAGGGAAAAATGTTTTTTTAATAGAAAGTAGAAGTGTTTTAGGGGAAAAAAAGAAGAATATTTTAATAAACATAGAAAGTACTTAAAATTTGAATATATAAGTCTTGCTCCGACATTAGTCTTCAAAATATATGTACTCTCTCCGTCCCAAAAAGTTTGTTACGTTTAGAAAAAACTGCGTCCCGTAAAGTTCGTTACATTTCTATTAAAAACCACTTTTACCCCTTACTTTTTCATACCCTACCTATCACATCATACCTTTTTCCTAATAATCTACTCATCACATCATACTTTTACCCATCACATCAAGGGTATTTTTAGAAAGTCAATACTAAAATATTCCTCCCTTAATTTTTCAAAAAGTCAAACCGTCCCATTCTTTTTGGGACGGAGGGAGTATGAAACAATATCAAAATACGATCTTCAATATTTTGTACAAAAATAAAACTTATAATGTCAAAACGTGATGGGGGAGTAACAAAAATGATGTGAAATACCAATACCAAGTTGTGGATATATTTCATAACACCAACACTCTTGTTAAGGGAAAAATGTAGGATACCTTATTTCTGTATAAATTTCAGGTTTAAATTTTATTTAAATATATTTTTAGTTTTCCCATATATTTTCATATAGTCAATTTACAAAAAAAAATTCAAAAAACTGCGTGATAAACATTACTCTCTCCATTCTTTTTAAAGAGTGTTCACCATGATTTTCTTGATATATTAAAAAGTAAATAAAAATAGATATAAAATATGTTCACATTTATTTATTTTTTAATGAATCAAGAAATTAGATGAAGTATTTTCCTAAGATAGCCTATATTATAAGGATTATATTGATGTGGAATGACTCTTATATGTGAGTTAGTGTCACTGCTGAGTAGGATGCAGATTTAAAATTCGATCTAATGAACAAAATATGGAGTAAATGTTAATGTGAATTAATACTCCATTTTTATTTTAAGAAACAAATTAAATTTCTAAAACTCTATTAAAATTAATATCTCATGCAAATGATCCCGTCGTATCCTTGTCTTTGACCCACACAAAAATCTTTGCAACATAAGAAATAACAATAAAAACTATGGGCACTATGTCAAAACAAACAACCCAACTTCTTTCACCCCTATAAAGTTATAAAACCCATTTAAATCCCCACCCCCCTCTGACAACAACCTTTGAATATCCACTTCATACATCATTTCCTTCAACCATATTATCATACCATGATGTTTCACACACTCTTTCTTCCTCTTTTCCTCCTTTTACCAATGACTGTGAATTCTGACATTCACGATCTCTTGAGGTCTCGTGGCCTCCCAGCGGGTCTCTTCCCGAGGAACGCCGTGAAGTCGTACACGCTCGACAGCGACGAACGGCTTCAGGTGTTCCTCGAGAGGCCGTGTTTGGCCAAGTACGAGACGAGGGTTATGTTCGACAGCGTAGTTAAGGCTAACCTTAGCTATGGGGGACTCATTGGGCTAGAGGGTCTCTCCCAGGAGGAACTCTTCCTTTGGTTGCCTGTTAAAGACATCATAGTGTATGACCCTTCTTCTGGTCTCATCTTGTTCGATATCGGCGTTGCTTACAAGCAGATGTCTCTTTCTCTGTTTGAAGAGCCTCCCATTTGTATGCCTCAAGGTGATGAATTGGAAGCTTTTTAGTATTAATTTCACTTTTAATTTGATCATCACATGATAACTTGTAGGTTATTTTTTGACACTTTTTCGTACTTTTGTCTCACGACTATAGATTTCTTGCTACTTTTGATCATTTTTTGTTAATTATCGGGCGAAATGAACCAAAAATTTTTTTACTTTAAAGTCTAGTACTACGAATAGATTTTAATTTGGTCATTTTGGTCATCTAATACAATATATAAATTTAGTAAGGTTTCTTATGTTTGGTTAAATTAATAATATACTGCAGGTTTGGGGATAGAGGAGGATGGGGGAAAGGAGTCAAGATTTGAGATGGAAGGACACAAACCATTTCTACTTTCTGCAGCCTGATGATTTGAGATATGACATTAGTTTTAATTTGGTGAAGTTTTAATTTTCATGGTGTTTAATGTGGGTTTCAAGTTAGGGAAAAAGAAGAAAAAGTGGAACAAGTTCCTGATTTTATGAGGTTAAAGGTGTAAAAAAACGTTGAGAGTTAACTCTTTAAGTTGTGAAAGAACTGAATAACTAATAACTATATATTCTATTTAAAATCTCATAAAATTTTTTACTCTTTTTTTTGTCAATGTAAAAAATATTTTCATTTGGTTTTTAAGGAAAGTAGTAGTGTATGTGGTTAAGAAATTAAAACATACTTTCACTTAAAAAATTTCATCAACGCTTCTTTTTTAATTTCGATAAACTCTAAAATCAAAATACTTTCATAAGATGAATATACATTGAAGTTGAAGTAATGTTATCAATATAAAAATGCATGCATCTCTTTATATTGCAATATTAATCATAATGGCTTTATAAAAGATAAATGTACATACATACATGACCATATGCATGATAGGCATGATACTCACAATCAAGATGAAAGGATACCCCCTATTATTAGAAAATTACTAATGGTATATATTTAATGGTTAATACTACTTCTTGTTTCAAAAAAAAAATGGTTAATACTACTTCTGATTCTTGAGTATTTGTCTAATTTTGATTTTTTGCTGTCAACCAATTCCAACATTTAAAATATAGTTAAATATATAAAATATATTTAACATTTAACATAAATCTAATAAAATTATTTTGTTAACAATATTTAATATTACTTTTACTTAATGTATGATCAAACTTTACTAATTTTAACTAAAAAATGAAAAATAGATAAATACTTAAAGACGGAATAATCATATCCAACCAAACTACCCTAATTAAGTTTTGTTGTGTTTTTCTTTTCTTTTTAGCTAGACACACCATTTATAGTAAGATTTGTCACCACATGTAAATTGAAACGTATGGGCCTACAAAATGCCATTCACAAGTTTTATACAAGCGAAACTTAGTCACGTTTTTTTGCTCTATATATGAATCTTGAGCCTGATTTTATGATAGCTTTTTGTGTCTTCACGTTTTATACGTTCAATATTTCAATATAATTCAACATAAAAGGAGCTATCTCGAAAGATGAAATGATTAATTCAAGCTTTTATTAATATATTTTTTCCACCGTCCACACAAAATAAAATAAAGCCTAAAATATGTCCTTGCAGAAGGCCTTTCTGATTTTTCTTCATTTTAGAACTAGTCCATGATTATAAATTTTGTTGAAGTGGGAGTTGTTAAATAAACAAAAAATATTCCGGTGTATCTTCGATTTTTTGGTAATAACTTACAGGTCCCATATTATTTGAAATTTACTCTGGGTTCCTCGAGTTTTTGGTAAGAAATCTCAAGTCCCACATTTTCCGAAATATAATCCGAGAGTCCTTAAAATTAGTGGACTACGAGTGTACATTCAGATTTTGTTCACACTAGACTCGTACCCGTGCGATGCACGGGCTATTAACTGACACATAAGTACTCCATGTTTTGAATAAAAAAAATCTTACAAAATCTAAAGAATTACATAAATAAGTAGATATGAAAAGTGGGGGAGGTTTGAGAGTGTTATAAGTTTTGGAACACTTCTTTATAAACTACATTCGTAATTTGGTTGCATGTAGGAAGGTCTTTATTGCAAATCAAGATCTTCAACCCCTGGCGACTTGTGACACGTGAAACTACCACATATAAGTTGAATATGACTGAATACGGATTTCTTCAATAACAATCCGACATGCGACAAAGATTGACCTTGACATTTGTTAATTGTCATCGCATTCGAACTTCCATTTTCTATGCAAAATATATAGACAAATTGAACATGGATCAATCACGGGTACGATAAAATTGCTGAATAAATTGCTAGATCAATTAGAGTCTCGATTACTGGAGCACTTCTAACATGGACCCACAAAACTTCCAATTCCTGCTTTAATTGGGGAATAAATACACTAATTTAAAGGTATTTAAATTATTTTTTTAAAAACATTGAATAATCAAAATTTTTTAACTTGTTTAAAACGGAAGATGGGCCTAAAATATAAAATAAATTCCAACCATTTAATTAGTTATAAGCCCAGCCCATACAAAAATAGCCCAATGCTAAGTTATTAAAAACCCTGCCCATTTATTTTTGTACCCGGTTAGGTATACGTGGTACCGTTTCAGCCTATCTTTCTGTACCTTATCAACATCGCCGATTTCATTTGAAATCGGTTGGAACGCCGATTAGAGAGAGAGAGAGAGAGAGAGAAACAGCGAGAGAAACCGTGAGATGGATCAATCTATGGTAGAGAGATCTCGAAGTGGCTGAAATGATCAATCTGGTATACTTCTTCATATATTTTGTTTTTTTATGTAAATACTCCCCTTTTATCTCAGATCCGATGATTTTTTTAATTTTCAATAATGAAAGAAAATGTTTTCAATTTAATAGATAGATGCATGTCAAAAATTTCAAGCAGATACATAATAGGTATATAATATATTCAATTAATTTTATATAAATAGGGTTTCCGAAATTTTTAGTAACTTTTTTCCACTGTAAAATTTTCAAGAAACTATATCTTCATAAAATATGTGCAACGCGTAGTAGAATTTTTTTTAGTTCCAATAATACGGAGCTGGTTTTGTTGATGTTGTTTGATGATGATTTTCCTAGTTCAAATATAAAGATTACACCAATTTTATTTCCTCAAAATATTTTAGGGATAGATTTTACTATGTAATTTAAAAATATCACGTGCTGTATAAGTTATGATTGTATTTTTCTCTTTAATACAGTATATATTTACAAAATTATTTGCTTTCAAAATACTTGAATATACCTTAATATGATTAGTGTGATGTGATAAAAGGGAGTATACATTAAAAAATTAACATAGCTATTGAACCTCTGTTTACATGTTCAATTGCACATATAAGAACTAATTCTGCAGGTTTGTGTGTTGCGAAGAGTTTAACAAAATTACAACACTCTACAGGTAATATTTAATATATATATATATATATATATATATGTATGTATTGATTATTGTGTCATCTAAGTTTTCTTTTGTAAAAAAATGATATTAATGTGCAAAATAATGTGTAAAAAAATGGTTTCGGTATTCATTTGATAATATTAGATTTTGACTATAATGTAGGTGCGTGGCTCGATGTAAATTTTATGTCAAATGAAAAATAAATAAATGGGTAGTGTATTGTTATGGAATCGCGTGCGAAGTAAAATTAGTGCGTGACTCTATGCAAATTTTATGTCAAATCAAAATAAATAAATGGATATGTATTGAAATGAAACCACGTGGGTAGTACTGTTGGTGCGTGGATTAATGCAAACTTTATATCAAATCAAAATAAATAAATAGATAATGTATTATTATGGATTTGCGTGCATAGTAAACTTGGTGCGTGACTCGATGTAACTTTTTATCAAACCAAAACAAATAAATGGGTAATGTATTGATATGGAACTGCGTGCGTAGTAATTTTGGTGCGTGACTCGATGCAAACTTTATATCAAATTAAAATAAATGGTCGGGTATTGTATTGCTATGGAACTGCGTGCGTGGTAAAGTTAGTGTGTGACTCCATGTAAACTTTATGTCAAATCAAAATAAATAAATGAGTAGTGTATTAATATAAAACCGCGTGCATACTAATGTTAGTGTGTGACTCGATGCAAACTTTATGTCAAATCAAGATAAATAAATGGGTAGTGTTTTGCTACTGAACTGCGTGCGTAGTAAAATTGGTACGTGGCTCGATGCATACTTTATGTTAAATCATACGGAATATTAAATAAATAGATTTACTAAATTAAGACATTTAATGGGTAGATTAATTGTCCAATAGTATATACTACTTTATACTTCAAACATTTCATACGTTTCATCCCAATTCGGTCCATTTTCAAAAAATGTCTCAAAACATTCAACGAGTATGTGGAATCTGCTTGCTGAGATTGACTATAGTCGAACCACTTGGATGCTTATGTTACGAGCCGTTCGTGTCTACTTTATTCTTGCTTAGACAAGAGGAGGAGATTCGATTGAATTAATCTTTCATTGTGAACATGTATATTGTTCATAATTTTTTAATATTTGATTATATGTTATTATTATAATTTAATTTTATCATTTTCTTTCATCAATGCTTTCCCCAAGTATATAGTTTATATTTAGGCCGTGCAACGCACGGGTACGAGTCTAGTATACCTTAATATGATTAGTGTGATGTGATAAAAGGGAGTATACATTAAAAAATTAACATAGCTATTGAACCTCTGTTTACATGTTCAATTGCACATATAAGAACTAATTCTGCAGGTTTGTGTGTTGCGAAGAGTTAAACAAAATTACAACACTCTACAGGTAATATTTAATATATATATATATATATATATATATATTGATTAACTTATTTGCATGAATGTTTAGCCTGTAATGAGTGTAGAGTGTGATATATTTGAATCTGGCTCAAAAATCATCAAGAAACAAAGCTAGGGGTATTTTTTGATTTAGAAAAATATTGTGTAGTGTAATCAATATTTTTTGATTCAGGGAAACAAAGTCATGTTTTATAAAATCCTTGAAATGATTTAGGGGCTGTTTGGCAACTTCTGAATAGATAAGTGCTGAACCAGTAAGAGGTCTGAACCATTAAGTGCTGAACCAGTAAGAGGTCTGAACCATTAAGAGCTAGTATATTGCTTAACTATTCAAAGGCAAATGTCTGATCAATTCAGATAAGAGGTCTTAACCATTCAGAGGCAAATCTCTTAACCATTCAGACATCTGAACCATTAAGAGGCTGAAACAAACAGTCTGAACCATTAAGTGCTGAACCATTCAGACATCTGAATCATTAAGAGGCTGAAACAGACAGCTCCTTAATGTGGTGTATAGTATAGTATAAAGTAGTGAGCCCACCCAAAAGAAGTTTTTTCATCACATCTCATACCTTTGTTTGGATGTGATTCTGGAACTTTTTGAAAGCCTTCCCATTGCTTCAAATCAGTTTTCATAGAGTTCCTGTGAGCATGAACACATGTATTCACTTTTTAAATGCATAAGCCTCCAAAAAAAAGCCATACTGAATAAAACAATGCTTTGAAAAAGCTTCTTGAAACAAAACCCTTTGTATAGATTCAGGTCATTAAGAGTTAGATTATTTATGTGATTCAAATGCTTTATTCACTACTCTATTTATCTTAGTTTAAAACTGTTGTAGTTTACATTATTAAGAAGTTCATATTTTGAATCAAAAATTTGTCTATTTGGTTTTCAAATTTCTTCTTTTCGATCTTTTAATATGAGCATGAATCCTTGTACCCTATAAGAAATGATAAGAATTAATGAAATGAAAATAATTAGAACCGATGATTAGAAGTACGTGAATATTTCAAAATAGAATTGGAAAGAAAAAAAATACATGTTCGTCATGGAAGATGACTTCCATGGAATCGTCTCCCTTCGCTTAAGCCGGAACGTGGTAAACACGTATAGTGCGCAACTTTAGGATCCATGCGGTGCGAGTATTATCAATTTTGTCAAGGGAATTCCACATCACACTTTGTGTTGTTTTGGACATCCTTACACTTTAGACCGTGCAAATGAAGTGCTTAGACTGTGCAAGGTGAAGGGGTATAAATACTGTCTCATATGCATTAAATACCCTCCTATTTTAAAGATTTCTAAAATCTATTAATTTAATTTGGAAGAGACATAAAAGTATTGATTTTGTTTGAATTGACATATTGAAAAAAAGAGTTTAAGTTACCAAGAAAAATAATCATTTTAGGAGTGTAAAGCATGCAACCTCTTCCCTAGAAAGTTGCTCACGTGTTTCAAGAAATTTTGCAGAGTACCTTTCGGCCCAAGGGCAGCAGCTCAAGAAATTTTGCAGGATTAGTTTTTGGCCCAGGGACAGCAGCCCAATACCAGAGAACCGGCCCATCAATTTTTGGCGGGAACACTGTAGAAATCCTCCTCACACCATTGTATATATAGAGATTTTTTTTTGAAAAATGATTTTGTTTATAATTGGTTATTAATTGATTGATTAAAATTAGGTGATAATTAATGAGTCATTAAAAGGATTTAATAGAACTTTTTCTATTTAGTATTTACACTCCTATGATCATGCCAATTGTTCGATACTCATCATTCATCAATACATAATTGAGTTTAAATACTCCGTAAAAGATAAGATCAAGGTTTATCATATAAATGTTTATCCAGCTCGATTCAAAATAATGCAAATTTAAAGCGGAAATTATCATACTACGTACTTGGAATTGTGTTTTTTTTTTTTGTGTTTTATAAATTTTAACTTTTGTATTCTAGATTTGGCACAAATTATGTTGGTAGTGTATTTGTGGTAGAAATTGAACTGCATATAGTCAAACAAGCTTTAAATATGCAAATGTCTGGTCTGTGTCCTACTTAGCTTCCACACCATCTCAGCACTCATCAAATGCCAAACCATTGGGCGTTGGATGCCTTCTAGTCAACATTACACAGAGCCGTTGCAGATATCAGTTCATATGACCAATGCAAAATGAAGAAGAAAAAACTGAACCAAACATGCCCTTAATTCCATTCCGCAAATGATAAGAAAAGATAATTTTGTATAGCCAACAAGATTCCATGTAATGTGTAAAAGGATGGGATTTCTACACTTTAATTTACAAGATACTTGTGTCTATGAGAAAGAAAGAGCCCAACATTTCTTTCCTCCCCAAATAATACAACAAAAAATGAAACTGTGGATGAATCTTACACTACAGTCTAGAGCCAAACACTCTATTTGGCTGTTTAAAATCATATCAAAAGTCAAGTTCCAAACATGCCCTTAGTTGCAGCATCAGCGTTACGAATTTGAAGAATTTAACTTCCTTTCAAATAGTTTGGCCCGCCGAAGGGCATCCAGTGCTTCTGCATGCTTTCCGGAACGTTTCAAGTTTAGCGCCTTCATCTTTTCTTCCTTAATCTTCTTCTCCAACTCTGTCTTCTCTTCAGCAGCGCTGTCAACCATATCGGCGACTGGCTTTTTCAACTCTGGTCCTCGAATGCCATGGGGCCCACCATCATCCTCAATCATTTCAGGACCTTGAGATCCAACAGAAGCATCTGAGATTCCAATGGCTGCCAAGGCGGACAAAAGCTGAGGATCAAGAAAGTCCTGAACGTGGACCCCACCTTCTGTGGGTCCGGATCCGTGACCCGATGATGACCCGGTTCCAGATTCCTCCAGTTGAGCCTCGATTGCCTTTGCTAACTTGAACTCAGCATCAGCCTCTTCTGCCCGGCCTTCCCTTCGCAGCTTGAATGCTGTCCTTTTGTGGTTGAGAGACTCTTGCTGCAGTTTAAAACGGTCACGTCCGGATAAAGGTTTTGTGTCACCAGGGGTAGGTTCGGAAGATGGGGAGGCATCGGGACCAGAAAAATCGGCAGTTTCCTCCTCCAAATGTTTCTCCAATGCTTTTGCCTGCCGAAGTTCGTCCTTAGCTTCTGTCAACCTCCCTTCCCTCTTAAAGGCAACTGCTTTCTTCTTATGCGCAAGAATCTCTTGATGCAGAGAGTTGGATGGATTCTTATTGGCATTGACCATCTCGCTTGGTTTATTTTCTGGAACATTCTTATTCGTGATCCCCAATCCCATGTCATCCGCGGTGTCACTCTTTGGATCTAGTTGAGTATTGGAACTCAAATTCATGAGGGGAGACTCAACAATATTTGGCTCTATTTGGGCATTAGATTCAGATGCTACTCTTTTGAGAGATGAAGATTCGGCCTCAACTAGTTCGGCCTCTAATTCTTTAGCAGTTTCCAGTAATTCATCTGCTTGCTCGGATTCTCCTTGACGTCTCAAAGCAAGAGCCTTTCTTTTCAAGCTCAGAAGTTCTTTCTGGATCTCAACTTTGCTTCTTTTAGATTTTCCGGTGGGTTTTTGAACCTGAGACATAGATGTGGATTTTTTGG